TTCGCATCCTTCTGCCGGGCTACTGTTTTCTTGGTATGGAAGAGCCGATGGAGATGATCACCATTACCTGCTTGGCGGAAGGTGCCTTTCAACTGTGGCCGAACAAAAAGATCTTGGGGTTAACGTTTTGTCGACTCCTAAGTCCTCCTCTCAATGCGTTAGGGCGGCCATAAGGGTAACCGGTGTTCTCTTTGCCATTAAACGAACTTTCGTAGATATAGACAAAGAGTTATTTGGAAAAGTATACGCAGCGTTCATTCGTTCGCATCTGGAATATGGAATCCAAGCGTGGCGCCAGTGACTGAAAAAAAGACTAAGTTGCTTGAAAAGAGTTCAGAAGAGAAGAAGAGTTCAGAAGTTCAGAATTGTGAAAGGCCTCAAGACTTTAACTTGCAACTGCAGACTTGACGAGCTTAAATTATTTTCTCTTGAGTACAGGCAGCTTCGAGGAGATGTCATACAGGCGTACCACATTACGGTGGATGACGCTGTATTTCCAACTGCACTCCCACCCGCAAACATGTTCCGCATGCGGGATGATACATGGGTGAGACGAGGTGGACTGTTTTCGCGGCACTGTAGAGAACCTTTGGAAGCGGAGTCACCGATCGCACTTTGTCGCAGGAGGTAAGAAGGGGTTCGCATCCTTCTGCCGGGCTACTGTTTTCTTGGTATGGAAGAGCCGATGGAGATGATCACCATTACCTGCTTGGCGGAAGGTGCCTTTCAACTGTGGCCGAACAAAAAGATCTTGGGGTTAACGTTTTGTCGACTCCTAAGCCCTCCTCTCAATGCGTTAGGGCGGCCATAAGTGTAACCGGTGTTAACTTCACCATTTAACGAACTGTCATATAGACGAAGAGTTATTTGGATAAGCATACGGCGCGTTCATTCGTTCGCATCCAGAATATGGAATCCAAGCGTGGCGCTCGTGGCTGAAAATTTGTTGGAAAGAGTTCGGAAGAGAACGACCAAAATTGTGAAAGGCCTCAAAACTTTACCTTGCAACTGCAGACTTGACGAGTTTAAATTATTTCCTCTTGAGTACAGGCAGCTTCGAGGAGATCTCATACAGGCGTACCGCATTATGAGGGACCGGGACTGTGCCCTACACCTCGATGATTTATTGACCTTGACCACAACAGCAAACCTGCATGGAAACTCTAAAACTTAGAGGATCCCGATGCAGCCTGGACGTTCGCAGGTACTCTTTTTCACAACGAGTTCTCGGCGCCTGAAACGGGCTTCTCGGGTAAGTGCTAATGGCGGATTCCATGGAGACATCTAAACAAAGACCAGATGTGTATTTACTTGAAAAATGCCGCATATTTAGATAGAACAGCTCTGTTATACCAAACCAACGCCTTGCATACACCTGACAGTTCGTTGCATCCAACGATGTCCACCGTTGTAGGTTGGTGCTTCAGGCACTGGTTCGCAAGTCTCTGTGCGATGGATTCGCAGGTGACCGACCAGGCCGATGCGTGTGGTGAAGGTACAGGGACGGTGCGGACACGAGAAGTCGATGGTGCCGGTGTCAGCTTCGGAGATGAGGTGGTGGTGGTGGGCTCACTGAGCGACAGGGTGTGGGTGGGGCTTTCCCGGCGGCCATGTGGTTGGCTTCGTAAATCCTGGCGCCTTTGTTTACTGTCCTTCTCCAGGTCGGACGGTCTCGGGCGAGGTCTTCCTAGTTGGCCGGATTGATTTGTAGACGCTTCAGGGAGGACTTCAGAGTATCCTTGTATCGGCAGGTTTGGCCTCCTTGGCGGCTGGCACCCCTGGCGACGTCTCCATAGAAGAATCGTTTGGGTAGACGCTCGTCGTCCATCCGCACGAGATGGCCGCTCCAACGTAGTTGCAGTTGTCTCAGCATTGCGCAGATGCTGAGGATTTCCGTCCGCTCCAGTACGTCAGTGTCGGGGATTCGATCCTGCCACCTCAGCGTCAGTATCCGTCGGAGACATCTGAAGTGGAATTGGTTGAGTCGGCATGCCTACTTCGTGTACACCATCCACGTCTGCTCCATACAGCATCCATACAGCCTTGCACATCTTCAGTTTTGTGCTGAGCTGGAGAGCGTAACGATTCCAAACTATGCTTCGAAGGCGGCCGAAGGCTTGACTTGTCTTAGAAATATGGCAGGCTACCTCGTCGTCGATTTTGGTGCTGCGGGAGAGGGTGCTGTCCAGGTACAGGAAGTTCTCCACCACTTGTAGTTGGGTTCCGTTCACGCTGATCTGCGGCGCATTGTGGGGAGGGGCTGTGTTGGATGGCGGTTGGTGCATGACCACCGTCTTCTGCGTGTTAATGACCAGACCGAAGTTCTCGCAGGCGGCGGAGAACAGGTCCATGCTCCGTTGCATCTCCTCTTCCGAGGTGGTGTTCAGGGCGCAGTCGTCGGCGAAGAGAAGTTCGTGAACGGTGTTTGTGGATACGCGCGATTGGAAGTGCATCCGCCGTGGATTCAGGAGGTGACCGTCCGTCCTGTAGGCGATGCGGATCCCGGGGCGTTCGTTGCGGTAGGCGTCCATCAGCATGGCAGAGAACATAAGACTGAAGAGGGTAGGCGCCAGCACACAGCCCTGCTTCACTCCGTTGGTCACTGCGAATGCCTCTGAGACAGCTCCGTTGTCCGTGACTCGCGCCATCATACCATCGTGCAGCTGACGCACCATCTGAGTGAATCGCTCCGGAGAGCCGAATTTCTGCATGATCTTCCACAGTCCTTCACGATTCACCGTGTCGAAGGCTTTCGTCAGGTCCACGAAGGTAGAGTACAGGTGGGTCCGCATCTCCTGACACTTCTCCTGAAGTTGGCGGGCGGCGAAGATCATATCCGTGGTCCCGCGATGACGACGGAAGCCGCATTGGCTTTCCTGTAGGAGGCCCTCTTCGAGATGATTATTGAGGCGGTTGAGAAGGATGCGGGCGAAGATCTTCCCGGTGATTTTCAGCAAGGAGATGCCGCGGTGATTGTCGCAGACTTGGCGGTTCCCTTTTCGCTTGTATAGATGCACGATTGTTGCGTATTTGAAATCTTGCGGGACTTCACCTTGAGGCCACATCTCTTGAAAGAGCGCAGTCAGGTGATCCATTAGTTGGGGACCTCCGTGCTTGTAGACCGCAGCATACACCTTCCGTTAATGTGGATGATTGTCATTTCATTTTACCGTTATCACCCATGACTGGGTGTTGTCGGGTTTCGGTCCTGCATTTTTAAGGACAATATTATGTAGGGTGTAAATATTACTGACAACATTTAGTACCGTGGCTATTTCTAGTTAGATATTGCATGTGCTGTTTCCAATAGGAAGTTCAAAGGTCATTGCCTATTACCCTTAAGACATACTGACCTGTTTTTAGGTATTGTTGGTGTACGCAGGTGGCCGAGTGGTCTTCAACACTACTTTCGAGTGTGTAGTCAAGTCTTTCCAGTCTGTAGCAGTTCGAAAAGAAGACTGATGACCTGACTTTGAATGTAGACTTTTCGCGCAACTGTCACCCATCCCAACCCAGCGATTCCACAGCCACTTGCGTCATTTCTGCATCTCACGAAGCTTTCTGATTGGCTGTGTGAATTTGGGATTTGACATCCCCCTTTTCTTGCCAAAGCCGTTTGGACCTCTTTACATAGCTTCTATCCCAGTGCATAATCTGTTGTAAGGCATAGTTTCACTTTAACTGGTTATGCTGAGGTGGCACAGTAAGCTTATGCCTCCATCCAAACAGTAACCAAAGCCAGCATCCTATGGAAGGTGCTTGTTTCGTTTGGGCTAGTTCAGCCCGTGACGGATGTAGACCACTCCGAATGTTTCAGAGATACGGCAAGCTGATTCTCGGTCAGGACTTTAAAACTAGTCGTTTACAGCAGTGCGAAGGAAGATTGCTGTCTAACAACACGATTACCTTCCCTCACTGTGATTCCATTTACTCAAACGCTAATACAGTGGAAACGAAAGCCGAAGTACAGGACGCGGGGTACAGTTCCAAACTGAGATTTTAAGAAGCCTGCTGTTGTAGAATTGAATTTCAATGTGGCTATTGACTAAATTGCTCTACTGATCGCTCGCCGTCAACTAACCAGATCTTCTCAAGTGTGTCCTCTTCGGCTTTCCTGTGATCCACGGAGGAGTAAGCCACCTTCATTCGCGGACTTGGCTCAGCGATATTTTCTCCTCGGCACAGAGGTTCTAGTGGCCCCGCGGTGGACAACCCTACTCTGTCTTAACTCCTCCGACGATAAGCCATTCAGGTAGATTGCTTTCCGTTTCACCTGCTTTCAAGGCGGGGTGTTTTACCTGTTCCCACTTTTTATGCTTAATATTCATGTCTGCCACACTTTTGAGTTACTGTTCAGCGCGTTATTATTTGTCATTTGGCGTCTGGGTACGCTTCAATTTTCCCCATCTTCTTTTACAACCGTTCAGAAAAGTTGATTTGTGACTGCTTCCACCAGTGAACTGAAGACGCCGCCAGAAACAAGCATTCCTCACCTTCAGTGACATCGGCCGCAAAACCCACTGTCGCTGCGCCCCAACTCCTCATGCGGTTGTCCAATGCATGATCTCCCAACTGATTCCGGAGAAAAATAGGGCCTGGATGATACTTGTGCTTTTCGGGAAACCGCGTTCGATATCCCAGGATGTGTTAGGCCTTTCTTCCATTTTGCGAGCATAATGGTATCTTCGAACTTCACTTCATAGTTTTGGGAAGCAGCGTCAATGCATCACCGAAGACTGAACTGAATGCCGTGGTTTATACCCTGTCAGCGGATGCTCCCTCCCCATCAAAACATTAATGTAGTTGTTTAGGGGGGTTTTAGCTGCAATTGCTTGCGTGCGAGGGACCATGTGAATGAGCAACGGGCCCCAGGCAGCCAACACTCCGAACGTATACCGGTGGTTTCACTGGGATCTTCAATGGCGTACCTGCACGGTCTACCCGCTGGGGGTTGGCTCGGGAACCTGGGTTGACGCCTGTGAAGCCGTCTATACCGGCAACGTTTCGTTCTTCTCCCCTTTCCTGTCCCCTCGCTCCACCTTGGTGGAGTCTGCCTCCAACCACCCCACTTTCCTTAAGGCAGCCGGGCGTCAGGACCCATCGGAGAGAGATTGAGGGAGAAAGTGTGTGGCTGACCTGTGTGTGCCCCTGCTAGTCGCTCCCCTTGCGCTGCACGCTGCTTCTTATGTGTGCTTAAATCCCCCTAAATGCCTGTATTTTCATCCCAATTCTCACTGTCAATCAGTCCGCGGACATTCTTATCTCCGTTTTGTTATCAACTGACTTGGCTTGCACCTTAGTTGTAATTCTGTTTACCTTAATTTACAGACATGATAGATGGGCTTTTTTCAAAAGTTCTTTTTTAAATAACACTCCTTGTCCAAAGTGCCCTCTCTATGATGAGAGGTGTGGATTTATTAGGGGTCGTCAGTGGACATCATCACTTCCATTGCTATAGATCGTGGAGAGCAGTCACGCGAGTTATCTTTGAGACGCAATTGGCCATCATGCAGCTAGTCTCTCTTACCTTAGTTGTGTAAGGCCAGGGCTTAGGCCGACCCGGGATTGAAGGGGAGAGTCATGCCCAGCGCATTTGCTCTGAGGAGATGTTTCACACGATAACTCTTTCGTAGCTGCTTTCCTCCTGCCAGCATGCACCTCCTCCGTCTTGGTGTCCTCTGGAGGGGTGGGCAAGTTAAGCATTTAGGATGAAGATCTCAAGTGTAACGAGTGTGCGTAGGGTTGTATTCGTTGGTCTGCACCTACAATGACCGGCCACCTGATAGTTGACCGGATGGCTTCTTGCCCAGCTGATTGAACAGCCGGCGGGCGTTCACTGCTGCCTCGAGTCGTTTTCATTCCCATGACGGACAGGTCGATAAGTAGGTTCCACTGCCTCTCCCTGGACGATATTTTCGAATCTCACCTTCGTTGGCTGTGTCGGCCTCTGTTCTCTGGCCTGCGATGTAGATGATGACATTGCTATAAAGACAATGAGTTCTACCATCGGGTTTGGTTATTTTGGGCCTTACATCTAGAAACCAAGTTTGTTGCGTTTCTCAGGGTGGAGTGTGGCTATTCTCGTGGACTACACGGTGACCTTCCTGTAGACGCCTGTCATCGTAGGTGATGCTGACCGTCCTCACTGTGTCTCAATTATTTTTCACTGAAGGTTGGACAAACAACACCGCGCGCCACACAACAATGTAGGTTCGGGTACGGTTGTCTTTGCGTGGATGATAATAATTGTACTGAATACCAGCTTATGGACATTGTGAAAACGCACCTGCATATTGTCTACCCGAGCTCGCTGTCGAGACGGGGTTAAGAATGCCGGAGGCGTGATGGGATGTGCTGGCCGGCAAGGCTAGAGCTCCACGCATATGCCTGGTCTGCGTACGATGAGCCAGACTGCCGCCGGTTGGATGTTCGAGCTGATCAGTGGTCTGGTGGTGTGCGTTAGGCGCAAGGGGCCCGCGGAGTTAGACGACCTGTCTTCGCGTGCCACGCACGACCTGGCGCCCTGCCCAGCGCACCTGGCTTGTACAAATTAGGGCGGGCGGCCCGTATCTCACGAACTCGAGAGTTCCACGGAAGCGACGGACAAGGGAACGCGTGTTCCGTCCTTGCGGTGGATGATGTTGGGTTGGCTGGTGGGAAATGTGCTCCGTCTGCGTCGTTTTACTAGATTTATCCTGGGAAGTGTGTGCAGGCAGTTGAGGCGGGTGCTGTGGGTAAGTGTTAGTGCTCCTGTACGATTACTTTGCAAGTGAATGCCGAAGCCCATTTGTGATGCGCATAGTCGGGGACAGTCAGGCACAATAGACCGGTAGCGGTTGCTCGGTGGCGACAGTGACGTTGAATGAGTTGATAATGCCGGTGATGGGGAGTTGTCAGATGCGCAAGGTTGGTTTGGCATGAAATCATGGCAATGTCCTCTATTGTGGATGCGTATGGGGCCGGGTGTGCCCATGCGATGACCGAGTATGCATTGACGATGTGGGCAGCTGAGGCGGATGCGACGGGCTCTGCCTCTGGCCACTACTTCGCCAGTCTCAGTGCGATGGGTTTGCAAGTGACTGACTAGGCCGATGCGTGATGTGAATTTGCGGCCTCAGTGAGGTGAGGTTGTTCTCGAATCCGCAGTTCTGGTGGTTGGCGGGTTGTGGAGGGAGATTATAGCCTGGTGTGTAGGTGGGAAAGAGGGCCGCCGTCGTCGCGGGATTATGGCCGCGTTGGCGGTCAGCGGCATTGGCCGGTCCTTTGGAAGCTTGCGCATCGGTGGTGGTCCTCATTGTGGGGGTTGTGGTCGGATTGACAGTGGGGGCGTTTTCGGAGGTAACATTCGGCGTTGTCCTGTTTTTGTTTCACTGAATCCGAAGATGTATGATGAGGCTATTGTGCCGGCAGAATGTTGGTTGACAGCGTAAGCACTTCCCAAGTGGTGTCCTGCTAGTCTTGAGCTTCCGTTGCGCAGGCGGCTCTTTTGACCTTGACGACGACGATCCGGTTAGTTTCGTAGATTGCTGCTTCAGTCTTTACTGTTCTTCTCCTGGCCGACCGATCTCCGGCGACGTCCTGCCGAGTCACGGGTTGATTTGCCAGACTCACAGAGGTAGCGAAGAGGCTGGTTTGCATTTTGCGTCTTGTATTCAGTTTTCGGGTGAAAAAGATCTGATGTGAGGTGCCGCGGATCTGTCGAAATCCTCACTGATTTCGGAGGGCATCCTTATTCATTGTGCCTGTTGATTTGATGAAAATGCGAGCAAAAATATTTCCGGCAATTTTGGGCAGTGGGTTTTCCTGTCATCGTCAAGGAACTGTCGGTTCCTGCCCATTCATGGAGACGGAAGACCGCTGCGTCCTTGAAGTTCTGGGGGCTGCTCCTTACCGACACATCCGTAAAGGCGTTCTGGCCCTTTCCATTAGTCGGTGACCATGTTTTCAGCCTTCGGCGGGGATCGCGTCGGACTCCAGTGTTTTTCCGCTGGAAAGTTGGTGTTCTGCCTCTAGCATTTCTGAGATAGAAGGTGGGTGACCCAGGCCATTGTTGATTTTCACCTGCGTAAGTCTTAATGGCGGCCTCGGAGATTGT